ATGTAATTCACTATGTAAAGGAAAAAATTGAACCCCCACACGCTGTGAATGTTTGAATTCATCAATGCTGTGAATATTGAACATTTCAGTAGCAATTGGAAAAGCTGGTAATCTATCAACATTAAAACTTTTGTCAGGACCATTAAACACCTACCCATCATTAATTGGGAGATATAGACTTTTTATCTCTGATAACTATATAACAAATTCTACCATCTTTGAAAGTTTCAATCTTTTAACATGGAATAAATCTGAACCTTCGATAAGCAGAACAGAATCCTTTCAAGTTCTTGAACTCCCGCGATCAAGAGAAAAGCTACCATTATCAAAAGCCCAATTACAACGTTTATTACTCAGCTCTGCACTCGAAAACATAAAGATTCTCGAAATACACGCACATCCGTATCCATATGTACATGACAATTAAAAAAAGATTTTAATTTGATACCTTTTGTATATTTCACCAAAGGTACCGCCCCACAGCCGCTTTCTAAACAACCCTTCAGCACAGGAATGCCCTTCCCACAACTCAAGCCCTCCAGTCACTATCCCGGGAACGAAAACCACCGGATGCTTCACTGTGAGACCTTCTTTAGCTAATTTCACCCCCGGTGGGTCAGGCATGGGTCCCGTGATCGCCTCCGTGACATACTGCGGGAACGAAGCCGGCATTGCGTTGTACAGAAACAGCAAAAACCACCACATCGAGCATATGCATCCTATGAACCAACAACAGTTGTCCACACAATTCCATTTTTTCCTAAATTTCTCATCTGATTTCGATTTCAAATTACAGTTCACATTTCCTTTCAAATTCGCAGCATTTGAATTCAATTTTTCTTGCAAATGATTGTCATTTTTCTCCTTGTTTTCATCCAATTGAGTCTCTGAATTTTGAGATTTCTTCGCTGCCGAGCCCTTTCTACGCCTCAGCATCGACATGTGAACATAACTATATATGCATACACCTGTATTTATTGTGTGTGAACAAAATGATTTACAAAAACGATTGATGCAACCAAAAATCGATTTGATTACTTCATTTCATTTCATTTCCTTCTCATTCATAACCCTAAGCTCAATCACGTATTTATATACATAGGCGGAGAAAATGAGGAATTCTATTCCTTCAAATTAGCAGAAAAATAGTTGAATTAAATAATAATATTAATAAAAAAAATGTTTAACCCTAAAGAGTGTATATAT